TAGGGTAGGAAATGGCTGGGATAATGCCGATATGTGATGTTGGTATAGTGATGAAACCAATATATACAGGAGTTAACTTTTAGATAATTAAAACCTAATTTTTTTAGTATGCACTGAAACACTTTATAAGTATAAATAGTATATTTTAATCTGTTCAAAAAGTGAGAAAAATTCATTTAAAGCATACACAATTCCATAACTGTGCAGCAAGATGTGAACCTGGCAATACATGTAAAGAGATTGCCATCTAGTGGTCAAAGGAAAAATACACATTTGTGAAGTACTGTAAAAACATAAAAGCAAATGTGTGTGCACACAGCAGTAAAGGAGATTGGGTAAGACACCATTAGCAACCACTACACAGGGATGACTCTGCGCCATTATTATATTCTTGTTGTCAACTATTCTTTGTTTCAAAAATTTCCTAGTTTGCTTTATTCTTGTTTTCATCCATTTCAATTGTTGATGATACTAGTTTGGTTTCAACACAACATCTTAGGTTTTTAATTCAGTGATTTAAAGCCCGTTAGTTCACTCATTTTTTTTTTTTTTGCTGTGATAGAAGGTAAGTAATGGCTACATCACTATACAAACATCAGTATCTAAAATACTGTATTTTCACAAATATTTGTTTATTAAATATTGTATTAGTTTTCTATTGTTGATTAACAAGAACTCAAGAAATCAACAACTTGCTATCACAAATTTGTTAACCTATAGCTTCTATCCGGAATCCAACATGTTTTAAATGTCTTTAAAGGAGGAGAGCAACATGTTGGCCAGCTGTGTCCTCACTTGGAGGTTCAATTGGGGCCCTCGCTGTTTCAATTCTCTCAGGGGCTTTATTGAAATTATTTTCTCCCACTGACCCACACATCAGTTTTGTTATTAACTAGATTTCTCTCTATATGGGTGATTTTGTTTCCTTTTTCTATTCTTATCCCTATGCCATTGCCACAGTGTCTGTTATAATGTCAAAGTATTCTAGCTGTGTACTTAAAAGTGTTTTTCTTTTGGAGTGTGTTGATTATGGCTTTTGTTATTATATGATTTTAAGATGTGCATAAAGAGTTTAATTTAAAACAATTGGAACTGGGCCCTCCCTGGTGGCGCAGCGGGTTAAAGCACAGCACTGAGAAGCTAAAGCCACTTCCGCATGAG